ACTGCACAAATACGTACCTCCCGGGACATATTTCGCAGTCTACAGAATAGTCTACGGGGCTACATTTCCAGAATGTGCCTGGGTTGTTTAAAAGCCACTGGCTAGAAGATTATTTTGTGAATATATTTTATTTTATTTCCTCTCATTAGTATTACTTTCAAATCCTCTAAATCACTATTGTAATCTAAAATAGATTTTAAATTTTCCTGACAATTCAGAATTCTTTAATCTGCACTTAATAATTAATAATAATTAACAATTAATAATCACATTTAAAGTCCATTTTGTTTTTCAACTGAATCTGCTCACTAATGTTGACTGATTCATTTGTTGTTTATCTAGTTTGGATTTAGGATTCAATAGCAATTGTTTTACACACAGAAAATGCTGCAGAATGTACCCTCAAGCACATATTTGTCAGTTTTTAAAAGTGTAGCCCTGGGCACATTTTCCCAATGAGCCTGTGTTGCTTTATTCCCATTTTTCAGGCTTTTCCAAGTAAAAGATGATACATTATACTTCCTTAAGTTACAACTGAGGCAATCCAATATTTTAAAAGCCGCAAAGTTCAAAAGGTTGACCCGCAGAGCACAAAATGAATACCATCAACAAAACTATTGACTGAGAATCAATAAATGTTCCTCTTCCTCTTTGTGTTTGTCGTACCTTTCCCCACACAATGTCATTGCTGAGCGCAGGAGGCCATTTGATGAAAACGTCTTTTTCAATCCCGCTGTCAAATGCAGCGTAGGACCCTGTCGTCTCATTGGCTGCTATAGCCGGGTCCTAAAGCACAAAAACACATAAAACATGTCTCTCTATAAACTCTTTTAGTCTCTCTTTAACAGTAAAACAGTAAAACTTTAACAGTAAAACACATAGTGTTATATGCACAACTGTTTTTTCTCCAGTGATAAAGAATTGTTCTTACCAGAATGAAAATGAAACGCATGCCCTCTCCCCTCATGCGGTCCACCAGAGCAGGCAGTCCCAGGAAATTAGTTTTGTCCAGAGTGAAGTCCATCTGCCTCTCCATATAGTCAATATCTGCATACTGAACGTCCTTTAAAGAAATTAAAGAACAAATATCAGTATAGTTTTTCTCAGCACTGGGTTGCGACTGAAGAGGCATTTGCTATGTAAAACAATGAAAAAATGAATCAATGAATGAATCAATCAATCAATATCAGTATAACTCATTGTAGTTGGTTGTTCATTTCGCTGTTGCAACCCCTGAAAATCAGGGACCTAGTCGAAGGAAAATGAATGATTGAATGAATAAATGATTGAATAATAGTATAACTTATAGTAGTTGGTGGTTCATTCTGCTGTGGTGACCACTAATAATCAGGGACTAAATCAAAGGAAAATGAATGAATGAATGAATGAATATCAGTATAACTCATAGGAGCTGGAAGTTTATTTTGCTGTGGCGACCCCTGGTAATCAGGTACTAAGTTGAAGGTAAATGAATGAATAAATATCAGTATAACTCATTGTTGTTGGTGGTTCATTCCACTGTGGCGATCCCTGATAATCAGGGACTAAGTCGAAGGAAAATGAATGAATGAATGAATGAATGAATGAATATCACTATGACTATGACAATGACAAACACTATGACAAACTGCTGTAGCAACCCCTGATAATCAGCGACTAAGTCGAAGGAAAATGAATGAATGAATAAATAAATGAATATCAGTATAACTTATTGTAGTTGTGGGTTCATTCCCCTGTGGCGACCCCAGAAAATCAGGGACTAAGTTGAAGGTAAATGAATGAATGAATGAATGAATGAATGAATGAATGAATGAATATTAGTATAACTCATAGAAGTTGGTGGTTCTTTATGCTGTGGCGACCCCTGATAATCAGGGACTAAGTCAAAGGAAAATGATTGAATGAATGAATGAATGAATGAATGAATGAATATCAGTTTAACTCATAGTAGTTAGAGGTTCATTTTGCTGTGGCGACCCCTGATAATCAGGGACTAAGCCAAATGAAAATAAATGAATGAATGATTATCACTGTAACTCAGTGTTCAAAATGAACAATATTTTGCCATCATTTTACATGCAAGCAGCACCACTGTAGATTTTTGTGAGTGGTTGCTACACTTCACATTTTTTCTCATATTGTTTATTTATTTATTTGCACAATAATACAAAAGATTGGAATAAAACAGAAAAATAAGCCATAACGTGAAGGAAGAGGAAAAAGCCCCAAAAGGGTTATTTACAGTGTCTCCTTGTCCCTTACAAAGATATAAACATTGTTAAATCAAGAGGAATTTATTTATTTATTTTAGCATAAATGAATGAATGAATAAATAAATAAATAAGGGTCAGAAAAAGTTATAAAACGAAATAAATGTTACATTTTTTGACAAACAAACTAATACAAAAAACAAAACAAAAACTAAACACAAATACAAAAAAGTTATTTTGCTTCTCAACACTCTGCAACTGAGCGAATATATATATATATATATATATAT